GGGGGGGGGCTTCGGTTCCCAATAACTCCACCAACCCCCACCGGAATTTCACCAATGGGCACTGATCAGCGGGGCTAACGCCCTTGGGCCCAAATAATAAAACCTCATAATCCGCTTCTTGGCGGGGTGCATTTTAGAAAATCCTGTATCGAGAAATCTGTCCAAATTGTGTTTGTTCCCGAATAAATCAGCGGTGGGGGATTTTCCGTTTTGTCTGTCATTCCTACTGCGAATGAAAATAGCACACTTATACCCTCGCACTGACCTTGGTTAAACTGGCAGCCACACTTGAGAATCTTGTCGCGTGCACCATCAATCGCAAAAGATTAACGCCATTCGCACAAATAATCTATTCTCAAAAAAATCTTTGATTCAATGTTGCCGACAAAATCACAAGCCTATAAAATTTGGTTTGGAGGAAGATTCTATCCCTATCCTTTCACTATGTGTCTCTGTCTCACTACCCATTTATCCCGATCTCTGTCATGCAGCCGTTTACTTAATCATTTATGTATATTGATGATCTAAATACATTAAAACTTATAATTCGTCAAACTCCACGAAATAAAATATATTTGCAGTGTCGCTAGCATAATTTAATTTGTTAATAATTCCAAGAGAAAACAGCATTGGTGATTTTGTTAATTTCTTGCCCCATACTGTATCTGCATGTGCATTTATGATTTACGCAATGGTTTATGCGTTAAGAAATATCGTTTTGCTAATGGTTGGTACACGCTGTTAAATATACGTAATGGTATTGATAACTTACCCAAACAATTCGTCACGGAGGCTATTGATCCCACATTGCTGAATACATGAAACTGAGGTACACGTGTTACTGTACATCACATCAATCCGGAAACAGTACTTGAATCACAGCTAAGGACGCCGTGCTGTGAAAATAGACGAAATTCTTCCTGTTATAAATTGGCAAACAGTAGTTTATAATGAAATTTATCGGGATACGGAAATTAGATTTAAAAAACAACAATGTGTACTTGACAGTTTTAAATTTCCCGTTTCATGCAGTGAATATATATATACATGTACTAACACGATTTCAACATGCCACTGTATAAATAACTCGTTAAAATTCTGACCATGTACGCTATCACATATCTATTACCTCTGCTTTATTTACTCTATATAAAAGGAGCAATTTGGTCAAACGAAGTGAACATGTTTTTAATATCAGAGTAAACACGACACCTTTTAGTTTCCGGATTGAATCTTTTATTCTGATTATTTACCTTTATTCATTTCCTTGTCGTTTTAAATGTGAATGAATACGCTATATATAATATGCTTAAATTATGGTGATTAATGGTAAATAAAAAAATAAGATTTACGATTTAAAAAAAAGAAGAAAAAAGAAAGAAAAAAAGAGAGTAATTGGCAACTCTAGTAAGTCTATACGTTTCATAAAACAACGTTTGACATACCTAAGATATAGATACAATTCAGTCTCCAACAAGAGGCACATAGGGCATGTATCACTAAACTGATTTCAAAAGACAAGGAGTTGTAAATTATCTCGCACTTACAGACTATAGTGGCCATTCTTAATTATCCAATAATAACGATAAAACACTTCGTCAGAACAATTAGAGGGACGTTAATTCTCTGGTTGACCTGAAGAATGATCAAATCAAAGTCCAAAAAGTCTCAGAAGACACGGTGACCACCTTGGAATTTATCAACCCTCAATTAACAATACCTGTGAACGTTCCGGATTCTATGAGATCATTATACATTCAGTAAGGCCACCTTTAGTTTTGAAATGACAAAAAAATCTAAAATATTCAGTTCTGTTATAACCCCTTCAATACTCCCAGATCACGTGAGATATGCGTGCATGTAATCGGTTATAGCGTATTATGTTATCGAGACTATTCAGATGCAAATAGTTTTGCTTTTATCTTATCTTAATCTTTACTACTCTTAGGCAATAGTGAAGATCACTTGATGGGATGAACAATCTCCGTGGGTTTTATTCAGCTAAATAGTTGAGAACTCGGTTGTTTTGAAGTTATTCTACCCAACGTAAAGGAATTGATGTAGAATTCAATTTGAACTTCAACTTGCCGTAAGTAAGTTAAATCCCTGAACTTTAGTCGAATCCCTTTGCTTGTATCTATTTCTATTATCTATGCAGGATATTTCAAATCAGATACAAAGGTTGTATATAATTAAAATATCACATTTCGAATTCATACTGAGCACAAATTCACGATACATTAACTTTTACACCTTGTGATGTGTCACCGCTTAACTAAGTCCATAAATTATGGTAATACTTTACTCCATATGCATGTCCCATTGCACGACTATTTGTGATGAGCCCATTTGGAGTGGAGATACATCACGTCATAGTAAGGTGGGATGTGTCTATATATTTGTTGAAGTTTATAATGATCGCTCGAGTATCAGAAACATGCAAACCAGTCACTTAAATATGCTTAAGAATCAAATCGTCAAGTCGTCAAATCGTACAGCCAGACCTTCTTACCGATATTGGTCAGTTATAATATTCAAGCTTAACTACACGTGTTTAAAATACTAGATATATTATAGAATCTAGAACAGTCTCGACCATCTCAGACTAGTCGCTAAATATTTACATTTTACCTTTTAGAAAATTCTCTCATATATAAATATCAGTCAGGTTTTCAACCAGGTCATTCTACTGTACACCAGATTATAGAAATACATCATACTATGTGCGACAATCTTGTCTACTTTTTTTTGTGATATTTCTAAGGCGTTTGATCGAGTGTGGCATATGGGGGTGGAAGTGAAAATAGCTAGCTATGGAATATCGGGACTGATTAATTAATTATGTTACTAATAAATCTCAACAAGTTTTTATTGGAAATAGTAGATCTTCTGTTAAGATAACAAATGCAGAAGTGCCTCAGGGTTCGGTTCTTGGCCCGTTACTGTTTAAACTATATATTAATGACATAACAGATAATATAGAAAGTCTATCAAGACTTTTTGCTGATGACACCTCTCTTTTGTATTCGGATAAATCACCACAAGTAAATGAACAAAAATTGATAATGATATCGTAAATATACAATTGTGGGCAGATAACTGGCTTGTTAAATTTAATCCTGCAAAAACAGAGGCTTTCCTTATATCTGATATTGAATTTGATCACCTCATTGGAATTAACTTTAATAATGTAAATATTGAATTTGTTGAAAATCTTAAGCATCTGGGAGTATTCATCAATGCTAAATGTAAATGGATCTATCACATTGATGATATAAGTAAAAAAAGTAATTAAACAATTAAGTGTCCTTCGTAACGTTGCCATTGTGAGTTGCTACCCTTATAAGTTTTTGTACTACTACGCCTTGTGATTAGCCCATGTATGATAGACTCAGCAAGCATGGCTATCTTACATGGACAGCGTTATCTTACATGACCAGATATGATAGAAATAGATATCTCAACTAATTGACGAGATAGAACACAAAATATATGACGATCTATCAATCTATACATACTTTAATTGCTTCAGAATTATCTTTTGAAATTTAAGCTATTAAGCTAACAAGACCCTGAAGAACAGTGCCTAATTATATAATTACTGTACATGATTTGATCACTGGTAAAGAGTTAATGAATGGTGAACTATATAGATCGCCATGCAACAGTGCCAGTTCGATATCTTATTAAATCACGGCCTCTATCTCTGTAGACCTATACATATCTAACGGCACGTAAACAGTGTCCAGATGTACCAAAACATGACATCTATCTCTTACTTCAGCTAACCATGTCAGAGGCAGTTAGAACGGCATATCACTAATGCCATCACCTCACACTAATAATGGCTGAAGTTTCTGTCAGATCTCAGGACAGATGTACCAAAACAAGACATCTATCTCTTACTTCAGCTAACCATGTAAGTTTTTTAGTTAGAACGGCATATCACTAATGCCATCACCTCACACTAATAATGGCTGACGTTTCTGTCAGATCTCAGGACAGATGTACTAAAACATACTCACTGTCCTGGTATATATGGTACGGTCTCTTGGTCTGGCCAATTACTGTTGGAAATCTTGATCTGGACCATCTTGGTCAGGTCCCATTGGTATAATTTGGTCCAGATCTTATGACCCTTTGTCTAGTTGATTAGTTTGGTTTGGTCTCTAGGTCTGGTTTCAAAGGTTGACTTTAAGTTGGTTTAAACGTGTTTGTTGTTAGTTTTGTACTATTTTAATTATTACTTGTACTAATACTTCAAATTATTAAACTAATACTTCTGACTGACTTGATGTAATTCCTCCATTTATTGTGAGTACACTTTTTCAACTAGAACGGAGATAATGTCTACGATAACTGTATTTATGATTTTTGCCAGGTTACCTTAAATAGTCAAAACAGTTTGAATCGCGGTGTCCAACATGTGGACAGGTTTCGGGTGATTATCTCCCTTTCGACACATACTAGACTTTCTTATCTACAAATTCACAACATGGCACTATCATTCGGTATGTGTGTGTGTGGAAATGGGGCTAATTGATGATTACGTATAGTCAAAACATCTAAAATAGAATGCTAACTTTGACCCCGTACTTAATTTGATTTCCATGGCTGCCAAGACATAAGCAATACTATGTATACATACCTTTGCTACATAACATATCTGTATGTATTATATTAACAATGTCAGTGTATCTGATATATATCAGGTTTCTTTAAGTGTATACAATCTAGTCCGTTATTAGATAAGAAGCAAATGTAGGTGCAGGAGCGAGGAGTCAAAACTACTGAAATACCTATTATATCACTTATAAAACATGATGTTTTTTTGTCATTTTTGAGAAGGAGAGGGGCTCACTCGAAAAACGAAAGAAACCAATTCAAACTACAGCTATAGGTACGATGAGGACCCCATTGGAAATAAGCTGCCGCCCAGCTTTCATGGGATATCCTTGGTAAAAGCTTAGTCGTCATGCAGATACATTGTATTTATAGTGCTCCACAATTTGTGATATTAACCTTGATGTGACAATCTAAATACTGTGATAAATCTGTGATATTATGCAATTGAAACTGTGATCATATGTGATATTTGTACTTGTATCATGCTTTTACCTGAATAAATATTATTATTAGGATAATTGGAAATTAAAAGTCCCTTTCCAGTCTCTCCCTAATCAAGACACTGAAATATATTACCATACTACTACGAGTTTACATTAAATATGATAATTTATATATTACGTTTTACTGTATAATACAGCTCTTTCCACTCAACATTTACTATCAGCATTCTTGTTGTACGGGTACCGAGCATTAAGGCTTACAGGATATAGCTCGCACCTGTTTTAGTCATGTTCTAAGGACTTGGTATCCACTCCGTTGTTCTTGGACCTACTGGTTTCTCGTCTTAGTTCTATATGACTGACATTTGTTTTGGATGACATGTTTTTCATTTAAACTATAATCATAAATGTTTTAGATTATACTAGACATATGTGTATGCAATTTGAATGTTTTCAATCATTTATTCAAAGTATCATATTAATTTGGACAAATGTAACTCATTTTTATTGTAGATAAAACACTCCATATCTCATTCTGAATAGGAAACCGGGACATCTACATGTATATTGTTATTGCATCATAAATGTAGACAATTAAATACACATTCCAGTTCCTACGAATCCATTGTGTGCCAAAATATCTACAAATGTATTAGACTGAACACAATTAATTGTATATGAATATAAATCAACATTATTCAATTAATTGAAACTGCATCCTTGGTGATATCTGTTGGCACATTTCTGTGTATGTAGTAAGTACAGTTTATCGTGAACACCTCCGTCTACCTGCTCTATTGGTATAGAAACAATGAGAATGATACCGA